TCAGGTTCAATTAATTCACATTTACAGGGGCACTTTTTTAACTGAAATGTTGTCTATATGCATTCATATGAAAGTTGCAGGAGGTTTTTCGTATGATTGCCAACATCCCTATCATCAAATTCGCTTGTGACAAAAACTCCCCCTGAGATTGTGATTTTTGAGGCAATATATAGACAATGTTTTTCTTAAAAGAAAAACCATTAAAAATAACTTTTATGACATGATATTAAAAGATAACACATAACAATATCCACATATCAATCGTTACAAAAAATTAGTGTACAACATTGTATTATACAAGCAGAGACTCTGGACCGAGTACCCAGTGTATTTTGGAGGCACAGCTCCTGCTTCAGGGGTATCTCTACATACAATATGATAAGATCTGTAGCAAAATTAAGAATATACATTTTTTTTTACATTGTACAAAGGAAAAAGGAAGAAAGAAAAAACACTTTTCTCGCATAATACCAATACAGCTAAAATGTTATGATACAGCACCGTCGGAGTGAGAGAGAATCATTAGAACCGATGTGGCCATATATCACCATATCCCATACCCCTTCTTGATAGGGAGGGGGAGGAGGATGAAAATTCCCCCCAAAACTCTGAAAGTCACAAATCTAGATGCATTCAAGACATTGCTTTCAATGCGAGAAGTGGAATTGTAATTTCCTTGTATATTTTATTCTTAAAATGACAATTAATATTATTATACAGGACTTATATAGCACCAACAGTTTGCACAGCGCTTTACAATTTAAAGGGAGACAGTACAGCTACTATACAATCAAAACAAGAGGATTAAGAGGGCCCTACTTGTAGGACCTTACAATCTAATAGGGTGGGGCAAGTGGTAAAAAAGCTTATAACTGTGGGGGATGAGCTGATGGAAGTGATAAATGTCTATTCGGAGGCGTGATAGGCTTCCCTGAAGAGATGAGTTTTCAGGGATTGCCTAAAGGCAGCCAGAGTAGGTGATAACCAGACAGATTGAGGTAGAGAGTTCCAGAGGATGGGGGAGGCTCTGGAAAAGTTCAGGAGAGGAGCATGGGAGGAGGAGGCAAGGGACCTTGAGAGCAGGAGATCATGAGAGGAGCTGAATTTCGGAGACCAAGGCAGTGGAGTTTATTGAGAAGGAGCAGGTGATCAACAGTATAAAAGGCCACAGAGAGGTCCAGTAGTAAGAATATGGAGTAGTGGCCATTGGTTTTAACAGTTACTAAATTGTTGGTAAGTTTTAGTAGGGCAGTTTCTGTGGAGTGCTGCAAGAGAAAGCCAGACTGCAGAGGGTCAAGAATAGAGATGAGCGAATCGAAGTAGGCGAAGTGGAATTCGAGTCGAATATTGGAAAATTTTCCCTAAAATGGCGGCGGACATGTGCGAGCGACGGAGAGCGGGATGTCTGGGAAGGCGCGCAGACAAGGCGCGCTGACCCATAATGCATTCCTTAATGACATGTGATCGCATTAGCCAATCAGCAGCCAGGCAGCCAGCACTGTGTAATGGTCGAGCTATAAATAGCGGCCATTTTAGAATTCTTCATTTGCCTCCAGTCATTCAAGAGAGGCAGACGCTCGCTCTGTATTAGGGACAGAGATAGGGCCACAGAAACGTTACTTGGGTGACAGAGAAACGTTACTTAGGGACAGAGAAGCATACTCAGGGACACAGAATTGTTAATGAGGGCCACAGAATCGTTACTTAGGGCCAAAGAAACGCTAGTTAGGGCGACAGAATTGTTATTCAGGGACAGACAGAATTGTTACTGAGGGCCACAGAACTGTTACTTAGGGCCACAGAAACGTTATTAGGGCCACAGAATTGTTACTGAGGGCCACAGGAACTGTTACTAGGGCCACAGAAACGTTATTAGGGCCCACAGAATTGTTACTCAGGGACAGACAGAATTGTTACTGAGTGCCAGAGAATTGTTACTTAGGGCCACAGAAACGTTAGTTAGGGCCACAGAATTGTTACTCAGGACAGACAAGAATTGTTTACTGAGGGCCACAGAACTGTTACTTAGGGCCACAGAAACGCTAGTTAGGGCCACAGAATTGTTACTAAGGGACAGACACAGAAATTGTTACTGAGTGCCAGAGAATTGTTACTTAGGGCCACAGAAACGTTACTCAGGGACACAGAATTGTTACTGAGGGCCACAGAACTGTTTATACTTAGGGCCACAGAAACGTTAGTTAGGGCCACAAGAATTGTTACTCGGACAGACACAGAATTGTTACTGAGGGCCACAGAATTGTTACTGAGGGGCAACAGAACCATTACTTAGGGCCACAGAATTGTTACTCAGGGACACAGAATTGTTACTGAGGGCCACAGAACCGTTACTTAGGGCCACAGAATTGTTACTCAGGGACAGACACAGAATTGTTACTGAGGGCCACAGAATTGTTACTGAGGGCCACAGAAACCGTTACTTAGGGCCACAGAATTGTTACTCAGGGACACAGAAATTGTTACTGAGGGCACAGAACCCGTTACTTAGGGCCACAGAATTGTTACTCAGGGACACAGAATTTGTTACTTAGGGCCAGAGAAACGTTACTCAGGGACACAGAATTGTTACTGAGGGCCACAGAACTGTTACTTAGGGCCACAGAAACGTTACTCAGGGACACAGAATTGTTACTGAGGGCCACAGAAACCGTTACTTAGGGCCACAGAATTGTTACTCAGGGACAGACACAGAATTGTTACTGAGGGACACAGAATTGTTACTGAGGGACACAGAAACTGTTATTAGGGCCACATAATTGTTACTCAGAGACACAGAATTGTTACTGAGGGCCACAGAACGTTACTTAAGGGGCCACAGAATTGTTACTCAGAGACACAGAATTGTTACTCCAGGGACAGACACAGAATTGTTACTCAGGGACAGACACAGAATTTGTTGCTGAGGGACACAGAATTGTTACTGAGGGCCACAGAACCGTTACTTAGGGCCACAGAAACGTTACTCAGGGACAGACACAGAATTGTTACTCAGGGACAGGACAGAGCGATTGTTACTGAGGGACCCAGAATTGTTAACTGAGGGCCACAGAACCGTTACTTAGGGCCACAGAAACGTTACTCAGGGACAGACACAGAATTGTTACTCAGGGACAGACACAGAATTGTTACTGAGGGCCACAGAATTGTTACTTAGGGCCACAGAAAACGTTTTTACTCAGGGACACAGAATTGTTACTCAGGGACAGACACAGAATTTGTTACTCAGGACAGACACAGAATTGTTACTGAGGGCCACAAAATTGTTACTTAGGGCCACAGAAACGTTACTCAGGGACACAGAATTGTTACTCAGGGACAGACACAGAATTGTTACTGAGGGACACAGAATTGTTACTGAGGGCCACAGAACCGTTACTTAGGGCCACAGAAACGTTTTATCTCAGGGACAGACACAGAATTGTTACTCAGGGACAGACACAGAATTGTTACAGAGGGGACACAGAATTGTTATGAGGGACACAGAGAATTGTTACTCAGGGACACAGAATGTTACTGAGGGCCACAGAACCGTTACTGAGGGCCACAGAATTGTTACTCAGGGACAGACACGGAATTGTTACTCAGGGGACAGACACAGAATTGTTACTCAGGGACACAGAACCTTTACTTAGGGCCACAGAAACGTTACTCAGGGACAGACACAGAATTCTTACTCAGGGACAGACACAGAATTGTTACTCAGGGACACAGAATTGTTACTGAGGGACACAGAATTGTTACTGAGGGCCACAGAAATTGTTACTCAGGGACACAGAATTGTTACTGAGGGACACAGAATTGTTACTGAGGGACACAGAATTGTTACTCAGGGACAGACACAGAATTGTTACTGAGGGCCACAGAACTGTTACTTAGGGCCACAGAACTGTTACTTAGGGCCACAGAAACGTTACTCAGTGGGACACAGAATTGTTACTCAGGGACACAGAATCGTTTAATTAAAGTGTATGTCAGACAACATGCAGAGGAGTGGCAGAGGAGGCAATGTTTTAGGATGCGAGCAGACGTGGCAGCAGAGGAAGGGGTCGAGGCAGCACTATTCGCAGCCAGAGGCTAGTGCTCCCGGTGTCATCCAGTACAGTGAGGAAGAGCTAAAACAGAGGGCGGTCAGGAACGGGGGGAGACATCCGCCTCTTCAGCAGCCAGGCGAAGAAGTAGTGGCGAGGAGAGTGGAGTGGCTCGGTAGCCGGTGTTAGAGACAGGTCTGTCTCCTGACCCACACGCAGCCGAGGGGGCTAGTAGTGAGGCGGAGACCCTAATTGATGATGATGAGGCTGATCGCACTTGGCAGCCTCAGTCGTCATCAGGCTATTGCTTCCGCATCATCAGGAGAAGAGCGTGGCAGCTTGGCAGCGAGCAAAACAGTCGGTGGGGTTGGTCTCCATCGCACACACTCTGCCATGTGCCACTTTCAGGTCTCCTCACCCACTGCTGGAGTGTTCAGTTTTTTGGACATAGGGTGCTGGCAGATTACGGGCCTCCATAGCTGCTGCCAGGCCCCTAATCTGCCATAGGCCCCTATATACCGCCTCCTCATGCTGCTGCCAGGGTCCAGAGTCTGTCATGGGTCCCTGTACGGCCTCCCATTGCTGCTGTCTCCATCGCACACTCTGCCATGTGCCACTTTCAGGTCTCCTCACACACTGCTGGTGTGTTAAGTTTTTTGTCATAGGGTGCTGGCAGATTACGGGCCTCCCATAGCTGCTGCCAGGCCCCTAATCTGCCATAGGCCCCTATATACGCCTCCTCATGCTGCTGCCAGGTCCAGAGTCTGTCATGGGTCCCTGTACGGCTCCCATTGCTGCTGTCTCCATCGCCACACTCTGCATGTGCCACTTTCAGGTTTCCTCACACACTGCTGGTGTGTTCAGTTTTTTGACATAGGGTGCTGGCAGATTACGGGCTCCCATAGCTGCTGCCAGGCCCCTAATCTGCCATGGGCCCCTATATACCGCCTCTCATGCTGCTGCCAGGTCCAGAGTCTGTCATGGGTCCCTGTACGGCCTCCCATTGTGCTGTCTCCATCGCCACACTCTGCCATGTGCCACTTTCAGGTCTCCTCACACACTGCTGGTGTTGTTCATTTTTTGACATAGGGTGCTGGCAGATTACGGGCCTCCCATAGCTGCTGCCAGGCCCCTAATCTGCCATAGGCCCCTATATACCGCCTCCTCATGCTGCTGCCAAGTCAGAGTCTTCATGGGTCCCTGTACGGCCTCCCATTGCTGCTGTCTCCATCGCCACACTCTGCCATGTGCCACTTTCAGGTCTCCTCACACACTGCTGGTGTGTTCAGTTTTTTGACATAGGGTGCTGGCAGATTACGGGCTCCCATAGCTGCTGCCAGGCCCCTAATCTGCCATAGGCCCTATATACCGCCTCCTCATGTGCTGCTGCCAGGTACCAGAGTCTGTCATGGGTCCCTGTACGGCCTCCCATTGCTGCTGTCTCCATCGCCACACTCTGCCCATGTGCCACTTTCAGGTCTCCTCACACATGTGGTGTGTTCAGTTTTTTGACATAGGGTGCTGGCAGATTATGGGCCTCCCATAGCTGCTGCCAGGCCTAATCTGCCATAGGGACCTACTATATACCGCTCCTCATGCTGCTTGCCCAGGTCCAGAGTTCTCGTCATGGGTCCCTGTACGGCCTCCCTATTGCTGCTGTCTGCATGCGGCGACACACTCTGCCATGTGCCACTTTCAGGTTAGTCCTACACACTGCTGGTGTGTTGCAATTTTTTGACATTTGGCAGATTGGGCCTACAATGCTGCATGCAGGGCCCTACATAATCTGCCATGCGGCCTAGATTACGGGCCTCCTCAATGCTGTGCCAGGTCCAGAGTTCTCATGGGTCTACGGCTCCATTGCGCTGTCTCCATCGCACATTCATGTCAGTGCAACTTTCAAGGATCCTCTTGCACATGCTGGCGTTTTTAATTTTTTGTCATAGGGTGCTGGCAGATTAAGGGCCTCATAGCTGCTGCCAGTGCCCTAATCTGCCATAGGCCTATACCCGCTCTACTCATGCTGCTGCCAGTACCAGAGTCTGTCATGGGTCCCTGTGTACGGCCTCCCATTGCTGTTGTTCCATCGCACACTTGCCATGTGCCATTTCAGGTCTCCCCTCACACACTGCTGGTGTGTTCCAGTTTTTGTCATAGGGTGCTGGCAGTTTACGGGCTATACCCCATAGCTGCTGCCAGGCCCTAATCTGCCATATGGCCTCTATACACGGCCTCTCATGCTGCCCCTGGTCAGAGTCTGTATCATGGGATCCCCTGTACGGCCGTCCCATTGCTGCTGTCTCCATCGCCACACATCTGCCATGTGCCACTTTCAGGTCTCTCACACACTGCTGGTTGTGCAGTTTTTTTTGACATAGGGTCACAGTGGCAGATTACTGGCCTCCCTAGTAGCTGCAGCCAGGCCCAAATCTGCAAGAGGCCCTATATACCGCCTCCCTCATCTGCTGCCAGGTCCAGAGTCTGTCATGGGTCCCGTACCGTCCTCCATTGCTGCTGTTCATCGCACTCTGCCATGTGAGCCTCTTTACAGGTTCTCCTCACACACTGTCTGGTGTGTTCAATTTTGTTGTACATAGGGGCGCAGCTTGGCAGATTTACGGGCGTTATCCCCCGCCCCCCTATAGCTGCTGCCAGGCGCCGCTGCCCCCCGCATAATCTGACCAGATGAGCGAACGGCCCCATTATACCGCCTCCTCCTATGCTGCTGCCTGGTCCAGGCGAACGTAGTCCCAGGGGAGGAACTTCTCATGTGTAATGAACAGAGGAAATCGAAGATGTGGCTGTTCCGGCCAAATGGAAAAATCGGAACATGTTGGACGACCGGAAAGAAATGGTGTTGCTTGTCATCAAAGTAAGGTGGTGCATGCGCATTGCATGGCTACGTTGTTCAATCTGGTTCGTTCAGCGGTTCCTAAAATCCACCATCCATGCAAGAGACCTCCTTAATGTCACGTAAAACTCTTGCATGAATTTCAGCCAATCTTAAACCGCAAAGCACACCCTCCCTAGAGCTGCAGCGCCCCAGCAGAACGGAATTGCACAGCATCGCAGATTTCTGCGAGTTGCAAAAAAGGGGAATTAACCCTAATTGTTAGACCCCTTTAAAACAGCAAGGCCCATCACGTTTCTGATTTTAAAAAAGCGGATAAGGAAACCCCTGTGAAACTTGATGTAGCCTTGGAGCTCAGGTGAACTGCGTTGTCGGCCCCTTTGGGAGGCCACGCTTTGTGAGTGGGCAGGAAGGGGGAGAACGGTATTCTGTTCATTTGGAAAAAAAGGTTAACAATGGCTGGTAGGGTGGGGTAGATTTGGCCCAGATTCACCACAGCCTGGGGGGGAGGAAGGAGAAGAGGAGGGGTAGAGGAGGAATTGGGTCGGGAAATTATTGAGTAAAATGGGTGGTTTTTCCATCGGGAAGGATGGAGGAGAGGGCATTGGTAGAGGAGGGGAGGAGGGGGGAAGGGGACCCAGACGCCCTTTGGCAAGCTGTGGAGATGGAGGGGGAGTCTCGATTCTTGGCACAATGGCCTAGATGGGGTTGTTGCGTAGCGACAGGAATTTTATAAATCGAAGAGGGATGATTTTGGTCCCCCTTGTTGGACCCCTTTCCCTTTCAAAAATGGGGCCCTTTTTCCCAACCCTGGAGGGGGGCCCAAAAAAACTTTACTAAAAAAACCCACTATGTGTAGCTGGTCTTGCCTGTCGGGCCCCAACGTCCACCCCAGCATGTGGGCCCTGTGCGCTCGCGTTTCCGTGCCATGGCAGGGGGGAGGGTGGGGTGGTGGGCAGTGGGCTCCACCGAGCGGTCCCTGTTGCAGTGATGATGAGTGTTTTTCCCCGGCAGTGAGGAAATACTAACAGCGCACCCAGCGGCAGCAGATCAGGGACTGGAGCGGACTAAAAACAACAGGCTTAGGGCTACTGGACAGCCCCCCTCCCAAAACCGAGGTAGAAAACCCCCTTAAATCGGGCAAAAAACTTGCCCTTTGGGGCCCCAATAGGTTTTTCCTTGAAAAAGGCTGTATCCCCGGAGTAGCGTGGTTTGGACGCGTGTTAGTGCGGAGGAGGATTGAAACTCCCGGAGGAAGACTGTCCCCCCAAAGGTGGGGAGG